AGTTAGCATAAATCAGTTAAATGACGAAAAATTAGGTGTCTATTTACTTGTGACCACTCAGTGTGTATAATAGTAGGTGTCGATGAATATTTGCAAATTTCTTTATCACATTTAAAGATTTGTAAAAAAATATTAATCACTAGAAAACATTTCTTCTTTTACTGTTTTCAGCTGGTTATGCTTTCTTTGACATCTTCAATCAAAATGTTGTTCAAAATCCCATCCTTCGAAGTCCAAAGTTTGAGTTAGCCCTTGTGGATAATCGTTGTATAAGTTTTTGGTTTGCTCCATTTGGACGAGGAGAGTCAACCACGCTAAGTGTGGTTCGTGTGGGATTGCCGGCATCGGACGCTGAACCTGAAAATCGTGATGTGTTATGGCGTTTCTCGACTCGCATGTTCGACACAAGTCGACCTGATTGGAATTATGCTCAGACTGTTGTAAAAACTGATACACCGTATACAGTAAGTAATTTAATGTAAAAACTGATACACCTTATATAACGAATAGATTGGTTTAAAAGTAACATAGGAAGCTTTGTATATTCAAATTATTACTAATATTTAAATCAGGTAAAACACAAAAAAGTATTATTTAAAATAAATAAATATGTTAAAACTTAATATACATATTTGTAAAGAAACGTTAAAATACGACTTAGCATATACCCTGAAATTTCATAGCAAGATTCTAAGTCTTGTACTCTTTACAAGCTGGTTAATTAGGATTCATAATTGAAGTTACCCCAGACTTACTATATTTAAAATATTATGGCCCTGCTGTTTGGAAAATCAGTACTGAAGACCTTCCTTCTTTTTTAAAACTTACACATCAATAGTGAAATTTAGTAAGGAAGCTCCGTCATTACTTTTCAAAACACTATTACAATGTATCAAGCCTCTGCTTTGGTTTTGACATCACATTTTGTAACTTCATCGTATTATTCAAAACACTGTTTGATTCGATAAACATGAACGGATTATTTTGTTATGGCACAGGTACAGTTCGAAGGAGAGGCAACGGATGGAGGATTTGCTTTGGATGATATAACGTTTTACGAAGGAGAGTGCGAAAGTAAGCATACATACTTTTTAATTCTCTTTTTGCTGTTTCCACATAATACCTTAGTTCATTTCATTAAAATAACTTTTCATATATTACGTAACACTGACCGTAATGTTTCTCAACCTATTGGTAAGTTCAAGGATTTTTTTTTTTCATTAATTATATTTATTATTGAATTGTTAGAGCAGGAACACGAAATTTCTATACTGATGATGCCTGTGTGTTTTTTGCTAAGAAAGATTGAAGTATTATAATTATTAATAACAATAATATTAGGAATTGTTCCGATATTTACAGGCTGTATATAACACGTGCTTTGTATAGCTTAAGTAAGGAGAAGCAAATTATCCACAGTGCATAAGATTACAAAATTCTTTAATCTGACACTGCTCGACATGTATGAACTTGCGATGGATCGTCAAATGGATCGTCAAGTTTTGAATCGTACATCTCAAATCATAGACAAAAAGGTCTGAGGTGTGTTGAACCTTGTATTAATTAATCAATTAATTCGCGACTGACGAGGTACTTTCGACCCCTGCATAATATAATTTAACCTTACTTACAAAACTTGTATTAAGCTGCACTCAGAATGTTTAAACTTTAATATTTTACAGAAATTGATTAAAAATTACAAAATGTAAAAAAGCATATCCGGTTAGTCGTTTTCATTTCTAGGTCACTTTGATCAGTGGCGTACATACATCCGTAGCAGCATTGCGACGGGACCTGGGCCGGGGAAAAGGTAGTGAAAAAATAAACAAAACACTTTTCTTACCTTCCGCACACAAATAATCAACAGAAAATCAACAACAGCCAATGAGCATCAATAGGACGGTTGGCACAATCTAGAATCATTCTTCTGTTAAGAAGAAGTGATGAAGTATCTGAAGCTTATATATAAAAAAAGCTTGAATGTTACCAGTTTGTTTTTCTTGTAGCCCTTCAGTGCAAAATATTAGAAACTAAATGTTGTCTCTAACATGTTACAGCGAGTATCATTTGATCTTACGAAAGCCGCAAAACAAATTTAAAATGCTACTGAAACACTGACAGCCTATCATAATGAATTTGAGAATGCAAGGGAGACTGCAGTTTTTCTTGCATTAAAGTGGGGCATTAACTGCAATTTCGAAGAAAAGACAATATGATGCTGTAAGCAAAGTGCAGAGTAACAGATGTCAAACAAAATTTCAAAATTACAGTGTTTAATTCTTGTTTGGAAAGCATACAGCAGTGACATATTACCATTATTTCTATATATGAAACGCTAAGTTTCTGAGCATCTCTTAGGAATGACATTTAAAAACTCAGTTCAGTCAAAGAGATAACCCACCTTCTTATTGTTGAAAACAATGCCGTGGGTTATCTTTTCCTGACATCTGCACAGTCTGCTTTTTGTTTTTAACCATTGCCACTGTTGAGAGAACATTTTCCAAACTTAAGCTAATTAAAACATACACAAGAAGTACAATGTATCAAGAAAGACTATCAGGATTAGCTTTGTCGAGTATAGAACAAGCACAAGCAAGAAAATTGAATATGGATAAGACTGTGGATGATTTCACTGCTATGAAATGCCGAAAAGGGGTAATTTTATCTAAAGGTGAAAATTAAACAAATTAGTATTTATTTTTATTATAAAATAGTACTTATTGGAATACATAAAATTACAGTAGTCTACCTTGAAATAAGGTGTGTCTCTGGTGTCGAAAAGGTTTCTAGAAAAGTGTTAGCAAGCTTGATGTCTACCATAAACAGTACACATGAAATAAAATTATATTAAAAGTGTAAGTTTTTAAACTAATTGTCTAGACACTAATATTATTTTTTCATCTTCTAGCTCGACCAGCTAGGGCAGCACTAACTGAAATTGAAGTCTAATGAGAAGCTGCAGTAGTAATGGGAAGGGAAAGACTATCATTCTTATACAAACAGTTTCATTATGTAATAGTTTCTACCAGAAGAGTTGCTAATGATCTTAAATAAAACTTTCAATTAATAACAATTAGTCTTAATTACGAGTGACAGGTAAAACACAAAAGTCTCTATGATCACACTACCTTTCGTTCTCAGTTGGGTATCATTGCTGTAAGCTTCCTCTTAATTTGTTATTGGCAAGTTATGGCTGTGTCAATGTTATACAAATACTAGAAACAGAAATTTCTAATAATAAATCTATTATAAGTATATATTCATTTGGAAGCAAGAAACACAAAAGAACTTAATCTACAAAACATCCTCTAGCAGCCTTGATGCTTTAAAAGAAAACCATTTCTGATCCTTTTCCAGTTAGCCAGAATCTTATTATAAATTGCCTTAAACTTTCACTACTATAAAACAGAATCATCACTGTTATACCTGTACATAGCTTCTTTAAAACTGAAACTGGCTAAATAATTAGAATCCAAAAAAGTTAATTGTCATAAGAAGTATGTTTAATATATATATATACATTTCCTTGCATAAATGTCCCTTCTTTCTTATACAATTCAAAATAATTTTTCCTTGGCCAATATCTAATTACTGTACATATAAATAACTAAAAAAAGTTATGTTTTTTGACTGATTCATTGCCAATATTATCAAATAATCCATTATATATATTATTCTGTTAAAATTTGTGGACAAAACAAGAAACCAATATACAGAAGGAAAAATACCAACAAAAAAAAACCATTAGAAATATGGCAGTATTCATTCAACATCTGTTGGTAGTAGGATAGTCAGAAGTTGATTCTACTGTCTAAAATCAATTCTACTAACTTCATTTTTGATTACTTACATACCCTGACAACTCATATGAAAAATATAAAAAACAAAATCGTTGTAATACTTTATTACTTTTGTTTTTATTGAAATAACAATACAATTTCAAACAGTTTTACTCACCAAACTTTCAATGTCAAAATGATATTTGCCACTCTCACACAAACACAATTTTTAAGCTACATCATTTTGGAGTGTTGAAAAACTATAAAAGATAACTTTTACATATGTAAATAACCTTAATCAGTTTTATATGGTTAATGGAAAGTAAAAATTAAAAATATGGTGGACGTCCTAAAAAGTCTATGTCATAAATACATTTAAACATTTTTTTCTTTTAAATGTATAATTATATCATTAAAAGCAAGTTAAAAACAAGCAAGAATACACAGTCAGTATTCACTAAGTTCAACCTTTATTTTTGGATCTTACATCAACCCTCTGAGTATTCCAAGGCATTCTATGAATTGGGTCGTCCATGTTTACTTTTTACTTCCTGGTTTTCCAAATTACATTCTTTTACTTTTACCAGATAATCAGCATACTGAAATTCATCACTAGTCTCATAATTACACATGTCTAGGGCTACTTCACAGCTCTCATAAACTACCCGTTTTTCATCTTTTAAGAATTTTTTGAGGATATCCCTGCATTCTTCATGTGCAATAGACCCAAGAGCTTCAGCACATTCATGTCTGACCATCTCATTCTCTTTCAAGTCACTAAGGGAGTCAGTCAATTGTTTAACACAGGCATTACTTTGAATTTGACCCAACACATACGCTATTTCATGACGAAATAATGCACTGCTACATTTCAAGCCTGGAAATCAAATAGATATGTTTGTATCAGTATTCATATTGAAACTTATAACTAGAATCAATGACTAAGAGATACTTGAGAGTTAGGTTATTGGAAAAGAAGGATTGATGAACTGACTCTTCTAAAAATCTAAGCACAGACTATATAACATTAGGCTTAATGACAGTAAAATATTTTGACTGAATATTAGTCACATATATAGCTCAGTCTATTATTACTACACAAAAATGATATATATATATCAAATGCCTGAAAAAAATATCTGAAATATTTCTTAACATTCTTTTCAGATTAGCAATATCAAAATTAAAATAATAGACTTAATAGTAATCTTTTCTGCTAATCATTACAAAACACAGTTCCATTTTTTGTTGTGCAAGTCCTCAATAATTGTTCAGCCATTAAATTATGGAGAGTTCAAGTCTTATTATTTCAGCTCAAGTTATGATTTTGATTGACTTTGGTGAAAATAGTTAGATTATCAGCAATAAAAAATACATTATGTATAAGATATGTACTTACAGGTGAAAATCTACTTTATAAGGTACTGGATAATTTTCTAATAATCTTTGTGAAATATTAGCTGTATTTTTTCTGGAATTTGATTTTGTGGTATGAAATGTAACATATTTATCTTATTTATGAAAGCTTAATTAGTGTTAGTGTTTAATAACACAAACAAAGATAAACTTGTTTCAATTAACAAACTATCTATAACAGTACCCCTTTAGGTTTGTCCAAAAGTTATTATTTTTTTATACCGAAAATATATTTCCGATAGGTACTTACCTCCTCTCATTCAGTGCTGCCCCCTATATGCAAAAATTATTTCACACGCCACAAGTCTTGAGCTCCCACGTACCCAAAGATCAACATGTTTTAATTGTGTCTCGAATGTAATTCATCTGTAACAACCCTCCACTAAAAGGAGTGTGACTCACCTTCCAGATGTATAACTCCCTCTATTCGAGTCTACCAAACTATCACTTTGAGATTAGGCAGAAAAGGAAGAACTGGTTTTCATTGGGGAAGAAGGGTGGGAAGTGCAAGAGAAGGTAAGTACCTATCAGATATATATTTTCAGTATAGGAAAATAATAACTTCCAATATAGTACATTATCTCTTTTCATATGGATAGCTAGAATTCCACATTGAATAGGCTGAGGGACCAGTGCGACGGATAGAAAGAAGTATCCTTCGAAAGCATCTGAAGAACACCCCTGAAGTGTAATCCCATTGGGAGAGGTAAACATGCAGGAGATTGCACCACTTCTGTACTAGGTATACTCTGCACCCATTGTGGAAAGAGAAAATCTGGTGGGTTGAATTCCAAACTACAGTATACCAGAATCTCAATCCCATAGAAAAAAATACTATAGAAGAACCATCTACAGACAGGAATGTGGGGAAAGCTAAAATGGATGTGCTCCAAGGTGTAGAGCAGTGAGGGCACAACAGACCATAAGTAGCCAGTTAACTCCAGTCCAAAACCAAGTGGTACCGGGATTAGAACCTCTGATCCATGGTAGGAGGAGGGTCCACACTGTCTTCATCTCAAGATAAGTAGAACACAACTATTCGATGAGGAGGAACCCACTTTGAGACTAATAATGGCTGGAGACGGCTTAAATGGGTAATGAAGAAAAACTTTAATATAAGTCATGTTAAACGTATATTAAAGTTTTTCTTCATTACCCATTTAAGCCGTCTCCAGCCATTATTAGAACACAACTATATACTGTGCAAACCGATCTTCCAAATGGACACATGCACAAATCTACAAACAACACTACATACATTGAACCAACATCCAAATAACAGTTGGAAGAAATGTGCCAATGTGGCAGGTCACATCAAACTCAATCAGATGGAAACCCCCACTGCACAACATCAG